CAGTTGTGTGTGGGGGAATCAGCTGGGGGGTCCCCAATGTTCTGGGTGGGTCTGGAGGGTCTGAAGAAGTTAGGACCTGGGATCAGCATTTCTTAGGTGCTCCATGTGGTAGGAAATTCTCTAGGACCTGTGTGTGGCCTTCAAAGTTGTAACAGGAAGATGAGAAAGTCAGAAAGATGAACCCAGGAATGATCTTGGTGTCCATTGGTAGGTGACCTGGCTGCCCCCGGACTACTGTCTGGACTGCTTCTTGTGCTGTTTTTGGGGTTCTGTGGAGGTGGTGGAGGCCGACACATTCTGATCAAAGGCCAGGGAAGCATGGAAAGCAGACCCTGCTCAGAACACTCATTTCTTCCTTGGATAGATTATAACAGGCCATGCCCTGGGCCCTCTGCATCAAAGGGACTGCTCAGAGCTGGGCAGAAGAGGTGACATGTTCCGTCTTCATCCATGCAGAACCTTGGTTTTCAGGAAGAAGCTTGCCTGAGAGTGGAGACCCCTTTTCAACAAAGAAGTAGCCACAGACTTAGCAGTTAATCTTGGACTTGTTGGCCTTTTGAGATGGGCCTGGGAAAAGCCATGGTCTTTTCTGTTCCTAGAGCAGCATTCTCTCCTCCTCCTGCTTCCTAACGCTGGGCTCATGGTGGACAGAGAGCAATGGGGCTTTTGGAAATTTCTAGAAGAAGGGTTACAGGCCATGTCACTCACTGGCCAAGGGGACTGCTGCATTTCTGGACTGCTGCATCTCCTAGTTACTGCCTCTCTGAGGAGCTGTCTTTTCTTGGATTAGGCTGAAAAAATCAGTCTCTTTAAACGAGAGCAAGTGCTTTGTGTTTTGGAAATAGCATCCCACTGCAGCTCAGACTACATGGGTTCTCAGAACAGTTCCCTTTAATCTGTGAAATGATTTCCAGTTTTTCAAACACAGTCCTGTTCTCGCAATCCTGTGACTGTGGCATGAGCTTCATCTGCCTCTTGGGAGGACTGAGGATCACAGGACCCAGGTGTGGCTGAGTCCAGGTTCTAGGCCTTGCCCCTGCTGTCCAGCCCTGTGTTTTGAGTGCTTACCTCTGCAAAGTGAAGTCTCTGGCTCACTTGGCCAGACATGTCATTGCAACCTCCTGGACATGCTGGGATGTCTGTTCAGTGTTCAGTGACATTGCGCTTCTGAAGGGGCTCTTCTCAGGAGCTGCCCTGAGAGGTGAACAGACGCTGCTTCTTCCCATGGCCAGGAAGACCACGGGGGAGTTTCATTGTCCCTATAGCATGTGATGCTGGAGGCAAAGAGAGACCTTGAGGTCCATGGATGTTTTGTAAAAAACAAACAAAAGCCAACTCAGTCCTGTCCTGTGCTGGAAACTCCTTAAACCCTCTTTAACCCCTAGATCAGTGACAGAGAGGGGATGGGCTGGGGGTGGGTGGGTGGAGGGTGACAGATTCTCCATGGGCACAAAATCCTATTAGGTCTGAGATGGATGGGACTCAGCTCATTTCCCAGACCCTTCCTTGTTCAGACTGGGGCTCTGATGCCCAGAACAGAGGGAGTCAGGGCAGAGCTGGGGCCTGGACACCAGATCTCCTAACCCTTAGCCAGTGCAGTTTTTGATGGATGTTAGAAAGAAAGGTCTCAGAGAAGGATCCTCTTTTTGGGTAAAGCCTGGTGAATGGGCACCCCTGGCTTACTCTACCCTGGACACTGGCTGTTCTTAAGGGCTGGGTCACCAAGGGAGAGGGGTGGTCCCCTAGGGCTGTCCTAGGAGATGTGGTGTCTGGTTCTTTCCTCAAATGTAGGTGGGACATTTGTTCCTATGGGCCCCACTCTCTCCCGTGGAGGTCCAGATTGCTGGGGTGGGAGAGGGCAGAGGACTTCCTCCTGCACGTCCCCTCCGAGAGGTGACAATGCAGCTTATCATAGAGATAAGGCAGGGGGACTGAGGGTGGCTGAAAGACTATTTCTTTTGATTTGCTTGACACCTGTTCCGGGAGAGTGGCTTGCTCTCCCCACATCCCTGGGGACATCTCTTTTGCCCCTGGTGGCCCACCTGACACACAGGTAAGAATGACAAGAAATTGGGGCATGAAGTACCTGCTTATTCAGTTGCCCTAAGAGGAAGTCTGAATCATAGTGCACGGATTAGAAAAATGTAGAAAATGAAATGTTAATTTCAGAGGCCCACCAGCCGGAGACCCCAAGAGAGAAGAACTGTAAGAACTGTAAGGGCTGCCCTCGAGGTCCATTTTGCGGGACAAGTGCTCTGTATCACAAATGAGACAGATTGGGGCTCCAGAGTATTCAGGAGCAGTCTGGGTGGGCCCAAGGAGACAGCAGAATCTGTGCTAGTTGTTCTAGAAAACAAAGCCGGGGCGGGGGGATTAGAGGAGTTTGGGGCAGACCAAACTCTGTTCTGAGAGTCCAGTGGTTCTCAACTGGGGGCCATTTTGCCACCCTGTACTTCCCAGGGGATATTGGCAATGTCTGTAGAAATTTTTGGCTGTCATAAGTGGGGCAAAGAGTTGCTGCTGGTATTGGGTGGTGGGGGCCAGGAATACTGCCATCCAGCTGACGATGCTTACAGCACTATACAACATGGAGTCATCCGGAGAACAGAGTTGACAATGTTGAGGATGTGACAGGGTCATCCTAGGCTCTGCTGGGAGAGCTGGGGAGATGGGGCAGCTGCCAGGAAGCAGTTGCTGAGGCAGCTGGGGCTCTGGGGGGCTGGTGTCTCTGCTCCCGCTCCCAGGAGGAGCTGCAGGTCTCCCTGGGGCGACCACCACCAGCTACTCTTGGGCATCTTGTGGTAGTGTCCACTTCACCGGGCGAGGCATGTTCACCATAGTCAATCCTCCTTGAGTAATTTCAGAGAGAAGCTTATAAAGCACTTTAAGAGGTTGGCAAATTACAACTTCAGAAGCACATAAATGCTTCCATAAACGCCAGCCTTGCAAACCGAGTCTGTGAAGAACAAGCAGGTTCCCTACACCCTGGGAAAGTCCACCTTTCCAGATGGAAGGACGGGGTTTATCTTTGGTGCTTCATTCTCAGAGTCTTCTCTTTTGGCGTGTTGGAACTCTGGCAATATCTGGTCTTTATTCTTTTTATTCCTTCTCTGTTCACAGAACTTGCCCCTGACCATCTCCACAACCTGTTCAGAGGCCGGGAGGGTCTGAGTTGACTGGGTTCAGAGAACTGAGGGCCACAAAGGAAACTGGCCTCTGGTGGTTCAAGTCCCACCCATGGATCCAAACATGAGGACCCCACAGTGCAGAGACTCTATGATGATGAGTTTATGGACTGTCGAAGGGCTTGATTGTGGGGTTCACCCTTCCCTCACAGCCACAATGCTACCTGGCAGGCAGGCAGACCTCCGCAGCCCCTAGCAGGACCCTCAGAGTGTTCGTACCTGGGCTCTTTGCTGCCATGCCATAGAGTGTCATCAAAGACCGTCCCAGCTGGACCAACGCTTCCGAAGTACCAATGGCTTTTTAAAAACTTTTACTCCTGTTTATTCATTTGTTATTTTTTGTTGGCTAATTGTTTTTACATTGGGATTTGTTGTTACATATTTGTCTCTGCACCCAATATGACAATATAATTTGGTCGGTTTCGTTCCCCAGTATTTCCTTTTCCCTCTTCCCCTCCCTATGGCTGGTCCCCTTCTTCTGCTCCATTGGTCTCCCTTTGGTTTTCATAAACTCCCCTCCTCCTTTCCCATCTTTTTTTCTTTCCAGTTTCCACATATAAGAGAAAACAGATGACCCTTGACTTTCTGAGTTTGTCTTATCTCGTTTAACAAAATGCTCTCAAGTTCCATTCATTTCCCAGCAAATGACATAATTTCATTATTCTTTATGGCAGAAAAAGACTCCATTGTAAATATAGACCACATTTCCTTTATCCTTCATAGGTTGATGGACATTTAGGCTGGTTTAATATCTTGGCTATTGTGAATTGGGCTACTATAAACAGGGGTATGCCTATGTGACTGCAGTATGCTGATTTTAATTCTTTGGGATAAGTACTGAGGAGAGGTATAGCCAGATCCCATGGAAGTTCCATTCCTAGTCTTTGAGGAAACTTCATGCTCATTGAAATACTTTTACTTCTGTGTTGTTTGATCCTCCTTGCATTTATGTGAAGTGGGCAGACAGGACAGTGATCTCTATTATTCTTATGAGGACATTAAGGATCCCAGAGAAGTGGCATACCCGCTGTCACAGGGCAAATAATCAAATGGAGCCAGGATTTGAACCTCAGTCTCCTGTCTCTAAATTCTGTGTATCCAGACTGGATCTGAGTTGTGGGGCAGTAGGGGATGGGGCACAGGATTGGGTGTCAGGAGTCTTGGTTTCAGATCCAAGCTCTGCCACTCACATCCCGACTCCCCCTGAGCAAGCTTTTTTAAACATTTGTGAGCCTCGGTTTCCACACTGGTAAAATGAAGAAAACATCAGCCGCCCCCCAGGATTGTGATGAGGTATAAAGAAGGAGCTCTCAGCTTGCATATGACGGGAGGTGCCATGGATTTTAGTCCCTTCCCTCCCTTTTCATTCCTGGTGGCCCAGACCCAGATGAGCAGGGTGGGAGCATGAGTGGTGACATATGGGGCTCCTCAGGGGAAGGCAGATAGGGAAGTCAGGTCTCCAATGTCATGTCTGAGGCCACTCCCAGTTTATGGGATCTGGTGCAACGACTCTTTGAAGAGGCAATAAAATTCAATCGGCTAGGAAATGACAACGGAGGAGAGTCCTGACTTAGCAAACCAAATGAACAATTTTTTTTTTTTTTTTTTTTTTTACAAGGCAAGGAATTCTGGATGGGTCGTGAAAATCACATTCTAATGCAATTAGCTTTCTGGGTTAGGAAAAGGCTTTCCCAAGAGCAAAAGAAGTGTAACATGCCAACACCCCATAGAGAGTGTATATAAACAGCCAGACAGGCCTCGGGAGTCCAGAACCCGAGCTCAGCGCTAAACTGCAACCTTTCTCTGCTGGCACCAATGGCTGCCCAGATCTGCACCCCGACCTTTTCCTCTGGGTCTGTGAAGGGCCTCTGTGGCACAGCAGGTGGCCTTTCTCGGGTGTCCTCCATCCGCTCCCTGGGGTCCTGCCGGGTCCCCGGTCTTCCTGGTGCTTCGGGATCCATCTCTTCCTTCAGAATGGGCCTCCCTGGCCTGGGGAGCTGTTTGCCTGGCTCCTACCTGTCCTCTGGCTTTGCTGGGACCGGGGGCTGGTTCTGTGAGGGCTCCTTCAACGGCAGCGAGAAGGAGACCATGCAGTTCCTGAACGACCGCCTGGCCAACTACCTGGAGAAGGTGCGCCAGCTGGAGAGGGAGAACGCGGAGCTGGAGAGCCGCATCCGCGAGTGGTACGAGTGTCAGATCCCGTACATCTGCCCGGACTACCAGTCCTACTTCAAGACCATTGAGGATCTCCAGCAGAAGGTACTGGGGACCTGATCTCCCTCCAGCTGAGCAGCCCTGCTGCTGGGAGGGTCCTGTCTCATTCCAAGACCTTCCCAGGTGGGACTTTCGCTTAGGGAATAAACAGGGAATTTTCCTGGAAAGACAGACAAGCTTATCTCTCTAGGACCCTGGTTTCCTGGAGGACCCAGGATTCTCCACAGGTCTCTGGTTTGTACCCTGTTGCCAGCCATTCCTCAGTGGCTCAGTTACAGGGAGAGAAGGAGCACGTACTGAGCCCCTACTGGGTATAGAACTGTGCCTGACAATTTCATATCCGCTGATTTATTTATTCCTGATCTTGGAGAGATGAGTATTACTTGACTCATTGAATAGATAAGGAGGTTGAATTTTGAAGGGTTTAGTAACTTGCCCAGCATCATACAGCCTGAGCATGTTGGTACAGAACTTGAACTCAAGTCTGCCTCACCCTGGTATATCACACTGTGCCACCAAGAGGCTATAGATGCCAGGACTGATGTCCTTATAATGCCCCTCCTGGGGCCAATGGTTCCTTCATGCCTGGGGTCCGGGCTCAGGAAGCATGAGGTGCTGCCCATACTTAGAGGCATGGCCTCTGTGAGCCAGGTTACCTGCCTCCCCACTGCTGGGCCTTCCCCAGTTCATGGGAAGCCTTCTGTTCCCCAGATCCTGCTGACCAAGGCGGAGAATGCCCAGCTAGTCATGCAGATCGACAATGCCAAGCTGGCTGCTGATGACTTCCGGACCAAGTGAGTGGCTTGACCAGGGGAGGTTTGCTCTGCTGCTGCCGCCTCATCTCTGTCCCCTGCTTTTGGGAACTTGTAGGGTGGAATAACACCAGCTGGAGTAGAAAATGGGAAAAGGTGGCACTAATATCTCCTGAGGCAAAGGACCACCATGCTACTGACCCCAAATCAGTCACTGCAGCTGGGCAGCAGGGCATGGTCCCCTGCCTATGTGTGACTTCCCTTGCAGCATGCTCAGCAGGGTTATGTCTGCAGGTACGAGACCGAGCTGTCCCTGCGGCAGCTGGTGGAGGCTGACATCAACGGCCTGCGCAGGCTCCTGGACGAGCTGACCCTGTGCAAGGCTGACCTGGAGATTCAGGTGGAGTCCCTGAAGGAAGAGCTGCTCTGCCTCAAGAAGAACCACGAGGAGGTGAGGCTGGTGCCACCTCATCCCCAAAGTGTCCCATCCAGCTGAGGGAATCTCTGCCAGCCCTTGAGCTTATTGTGTGTCAGAAACTAGATGAAACACTAACACATCATCCTCATAGTAATCCCAAGAGTGACTCAGCAATACAAGCTCCACTTTACATGTGAGAAGACTGAGGCACAAAGAGGTTAAGTCACAAAGTCCTTACTCTGCCCATGACACTAATCTCCAATTAGGTTATGGTGCCTGATGACAATTCTATTTGCCTGGCGTTTATACCATCTCACCTAAATCTCCCAAATCCCCAGGAGGAAGTAGGTGTATGTCCACAGGGAGACCCAGTTAAGCATCCTGTCCAATGCTACACAGCTGGCAGAGAGGGGAGGTCAGTTGAATCGCTAAGCCAGCATCCTTCTTACGGCCTGAGACGTCTTGCTTTCTCTCTGCAGGAAGTCAATGCACTCCGTTGCCAACTTGGGGACCGACTGAACGTGGAGGTGGATGCCGCCCCACCTGTGGATCTCAACAAGATACTGGATGATATGAGATGCCAATATGAGGCCCTGGTGGAGAATAACCACAGAGATGTAGAGGCCTGGTTCAACACCCAGGTGCGCCTGGGGCAGCTCCTGGGATGTGGGCCCTCTTTAAATTAGCTTTACCTCGTCTGACCATGCCTGCATCTTCTCGTGTGTTGCAGACTGAGGAGCTGAACCAGCAGGTGGTGTCCAGCTCAGAGCAGCTTCAGACCTGTCAGACCGAGATCATTGAGCTGAGACGCATGGTCAACGCCCTGGAGATTGAGCTGCAGGCCCAGCATAGCATGGTGGGTGGCATCTGCCTGAGTGACGTCACAGTTCATGGCAGGCTCCCTGGCCCACCAGCCTCAGCATGTGGGCTATCCTGGGGCCTGATCACAAACCATGTGCAGATATCCCAGGGCTGTGGGTGTCTGGGTGGGATACCTTCCCCTTGGTAGCTCTTCCTCTTTCCCAATGCAGCGAAATTCCTTGGAATCCACCCTGGCGGAGACAGAGGCCCGCTACAGTTCGCAGCTGGGCCAGATGCAGTGTATGATCACCAATGTGGAGTCCCAGCTGGCCGACATCCGCTGTGACCTGGAGCGGCAGAACCAGGAGTACAAGGTGCTGCTGGATGTCAAGGCTCGGCTGGAGTGTGAGATCAATACCTACCGGGGCCTGCTGGAGGGAGAAGACTGCAAGTGAGTGGCCCATGGGTCCCAAGGGCTGGGGTGGGGAAAGGGCCAAGTGGGAGGCATCAGACCCTGAAGTGGTTGTTGCAAAGATGAAGGGGATGGAACCAAATCCACTGGAGGGTCCTTCTTGCCCTGGGCTTTGGTAATGCCCAGAGGATGCACCAACCCAGCACTCACCCTGCTTCTCGAACCATTGTTTTTGCTTGGGAATTTCTAGTCTTTCCTGCAGTTTTATCTTTCCACGCTTAGGGATTTCAGAGGAACTGAAATAGTCTGAGACCTATCTTTGTTATTACCCACCCATCTCACTTGATCCCCTAAATTTGTTTCACAGCATTCTCAGCCCAAAGCCCCAATATCAAGTGAACCCTGCATGACGTTATTTCCACAGGCTTCCTCCTCACCCTTGTGCCACGGATTGCAAGCCTGCCATGAGAGTTCCTTGTGTTCCCTGTGCCCCAACCATACCCTGCACCCCGGCGGGTCCTCAGATCAGCACCCAGATCCGCACCATCACCGAGGAGATAAGGGATGGGAAAGTCATCTCCTCCAGGGAGCATATGCTGCCCCGCCCGCTGTGATCAGGCTCGGCCCCCCAGGAAGCCCCCTCTGGCTCCTGGCTGCTAAATGACCCCTCAGTCCCCTAGATGGGGGGCTACTCTGCTTAGCAGGCTTTTCTACCAAAATTCTTCTTGTGTCGTGCGTCTGGTCTTAACTGTGCTTTTGGCATCATGTGTAACCAGGTTCCCCTGGAAGCATCCCTAATAAAGTGTGGTCTCTTGCTCAGCACACTTGACCCTGGCTGCTTCTGTTGATTCTCCTGTGGTTGGATAGCAGGGGTATTCGAGCAGGGATTGCAGGAAAGTTGTGGGGTTTGGTTTCAGATCTGTCTACTCTGGCTCTGAGGGGTTGGAAGTGACAGTGATTCAAAATACTTGATAACAGGGATCCTCAGGCCTGGTCCACGAGAACAGGCACTGATCCCATGTGGACAGGTGCTGGCCACAGCTCCCTGCTCGGCTCTGCCCATTGGCATGCCCTTGAGGGCAGTCTGGGGAAAGGCAAAGGCTCCCAGATCAGTTCTCTTGGAAGCTCTGCCTGGATCGGGTGAGACTTCCTCACTTCTTTTCCAGTTCTCCCGCCTTGCCCAGATCCTACCATCCTGCTGCCCCACGCTGGGGACAGTTCAGGAGAGGGAAGTGCTAGGACCAACCAGAAAGGACCAAACTCCAGGCGGCCAGGCTGAGTCAACCACACCAGGAAAGGGAACGAGGAGGAGCTGGGAGGTGAAGGCAGAGGGCACACGTGGCATGGGGAGGGAAGGGTGGTGGGGACAGTGGGGTGCAGGTGCTCAGATACGGAGTGTGGGGAGGGGACAGGCAGACCTTGAGATGGAACAGAGTGCCTGGATTCTACAGGCTAAGCTGTGTGGGTCTGGTGTGGGCCCGAGCAGGCCAGGCCCTGGACATCCTGTGGATCGGAGTAGCATGGTCTGTGAGAAGTCTGAGGGTCCCATGCTGTCCCTTTGTCCCCTGCCTCATTCTTCAATTGAGAATACAGACCTATAGAGGGCAGTGACCTGCTCCAGGTCACACAGTTTGTCAGAGACCTGGTCATTACCCAGCAACACTGACTCTGCTTCTGAGCTCTTACTTGGGGCTGAGATGTCCATGAGAAGAACTGGCTGTGCCTGTGTCACCAGGTCTTTGGTGCTAAACACAAACCCTCTTGCTGGACAAGCCAGAGGTATGGCAAAAATGTCGGGAGATGTACAGAAAGTCCCGTGCACTGCTCCTGGCTGTACTGCCCTGCAGCGTGTGCCCAGTCACATCCTGTGACTTCTCTAGGATCTCAGAGTGAAATGGATCTGTTGAGAGGCTCTGGTGGGATATTGTATGTACAGTGCCCCAATGTGGTAGCTACCCGTGTTGGTGTCAATAAAAATGAAGAGTTCTGGGCTTAGTGGGGAACAGGGTGTGCCAAGCTTATTGCTGGGCATGTGGCAGGATGCAGGGGTGGGCGGTGCTGTCAGTAGCATCCTCAGAGCTGGACAGTGAACTTGAAGGCCTCTGCTTTAGAGGCCCCACTCAGCTTTGGGCAGACGACCTATCCACATGGTTTTCACTCCTGTCTTGCCTCCCTCTCTGCTCCATCCTTGCTTTGGGGCTTGAGGTCTGCATTCTAGGCTCTGGCCTGAGTCTCAGGAGATGGACTGAGTCTTCTGTTTAGAAAACAGATCACACTGCTTTGCTACCATGTTGGAGCAGACAGACCACATGGGGTTATGACCTGACAGGCAATCATGCTGCAAACATCTTGTACCATACAAAGCTTTTCTTTTTATGAGCACTCTACAGTTTATAGAGAATATTCACAGGCTCATCACACACACACAAACGGCTCTGTGAGTTTGTGGGAGCTTTACTGATGCCCCATTGCCTAGAGTTTTATTAAATTCTCCAGAGCCACCTGCATCAACTAAGGAACTGCTCTTACTCTCAACTTCACGCACACCTTTAACTGAGTTCTCACTGACGTCACTACCAATGTGCAGACGAGATTTCACCACGGTGGCTGAATAGGCACTGACCCATCCAAAGTCACATAGTGATTGGCAGTCCTTTTTAGGTCTTTTGACTCTTCTATCATAGCTTTTCCAGGACATCAAGAGAGAGATAATATCCATATTACATTTTATGAAATTTCACCTTGATTTTCAGGTGGTTGATTTTTTTTTTTTGGATGTTCTAGATACAATGTCTGGTCATCTTCCTTGTTCACACACACTCATGCTTCAGCGAATCGATTGGGAGGCAATACATGGAGCGCCTCACTCACAGACATCCGTGCTGATGGATGTCAGGGCTCAGCGAGGCAGAAGTGGGTGGTGGTAGCAGCTGGACCAATAGTGGACGACAGGCACATTTCCCATGGGGTTCCATGCCGATGTGGGGACCCCCACCCTACCCTCCCAGAATCAGCACCAGGGATGGCAGGAGCTGGAGCGGGGCAGGTTTCAAGTTCTCCAGATAGGGAGACACCGCTGAGAATGGGGTACCTGGGGAAGGCTGAATTAGATTCAAGGATGTGTAGAAAAAGGAAGAAGGAGGCCTAAAGGGTATTTTAGGACATAGTTATTCCTATGTCCCTACAGCATGTTCTGGGACAGCATGAGCCCATTCAAGCAGAGTGCAAAGATCCTGGAGGGAAATGTATTAGGATACTTGCTAAACAACATTAGTTCTTGTTGATAAAAGGTTCTAGATGATTATTTTGTGCTTTCAAAAAGAAGGCCAAGGGCGCTCTTCTTCCTTGATGTTCAAGAACTGAGTGGCTTTCCCCTGCCACGCCCTCCAGCTACCAGGCTCTGCCTCACAGGCACAGAGCTGTGGAGTGGGCCATCTATGAACTGAACTTCTATGAACTGTGCCCCCTCAACCCCCATGAGGCTCTGTGCCTGCCTGAGCCTGGGACGACAGGAGTTACCTTCTTCACTGTGCCCATCTGATGGTCTCCAATACATTCTTCAATTTTGTCTGTTCCCCTCTGGACAAAATTCATTGTCCAAATCTCAGTAGTTTCAACCTGGGACACATTTCTCACATCTCTATCATCAGAGATGATCACACCACATGGTTTATTTCATAACTAGTTACACTGTGACATCTAAGGGAGCAGGTATTTATCTCACGGATCTTTGCATACCCTGGGCCTGCAAAGTGAATATGGCTGAATGTTTGCTGAATGAATAAAGGAAGATAGGAACCTGCCTGGGATAACTCACCTGGGAACTCAACAGAAAGCTGGAAAGCACAGCATCTTCCATATTAGACAGCCATGAACGTGTGAATATTTTGCAGCATAAGGTTGATAATCACAGGGCAGTTCTCACCTTGAGAACACAGGGGCTCCTTTTGAGAGTCACATATGCCTGGTAAATAGTAAGGTTCAGAAATGTTTGTTGAACAAGTAAACCTTAACCTATGCAGGTTATGATCTATGTGTGGATGAGAAGATCAGGCCCAAAAGGAAGAAGTGACTTATCAGGTGTCCCTCAGGTCCCCTGGGGCAGCATGATGAGGCTCCTGCTCTAGTTGCCAGCCCTGGGCACAGTTCTTAAGTGCATGGGGGTACGTCTGTGGTAGAGGACAGCTTTAGGAAAACCTGAATGCATTTGGTGCATAGCTGCAGACTTCTCTGTTTCTGGATTTACTTCTTAAAGGAAGTAGTTCTGGAACACCACTGGAAACTGTACAAGAGGCAATTCCATGAGTTGTAATACATGGCCAATGGTAGTTGGTATTGTTGTTCATGTTGACTGTCTCCCAAATGGCAAGAAAAGTCCCCAGGACCTCAGGTCCTGTGAGGCAGTGAGCATCTTATGTGATGGATTCATCTGTCACATTGTCAACTCCAGAATTCTCATGGATTTTGCTATTTCTAAAAACTATGACTATTTTGGGGTTTGAGGGTTTGTAATGAGCAGTGATACGAAAGTGGATGTTCAATTCACTTAAAGCTTTTTACATGTCAGCACTTAACTAAATAAAAAAGAGGAGGGGGAAAAAGAAATGCTAACAAAGAATGGAAGTAGACCAGAATATACAGAATATGTCATATCTTTAGAAATATTCCTTACATGTTTTTAACAAAATTATCTAAAAAAAAAAATCTTATCAAGAATTTTTAGCCAAGTCTTTAGCATTAAATTGTCTCCCTGGGGCCGATGGCTTTTGCTCTCTGCCATACAATTGGTCATTTTTGTACAATCTGCTGATGACACAGATGCCGGGTCCCTCTCTGGCTTGGAGTCTCAGCCTCCTGGGTGTGAGAGTAGGAGTAATAAGACCACCTGTGTTTTTCTACCCGCTCCCTATTTGAATCTTCTCTTTCCCTCTTCTGTCACCTCCTTTCTCCACTCCTTTCCTCTCCAGACACAATTCCCCCTGGGCAAATCATTCATTTGTTTGCTCATTCTTTCTGAGACACCTAGGAGTCTAGCTCTGGGCTTGACATATCAGAGGCTTCAAAAAAAGTACAAGGTCAGTCCCCAGGTCCTTCCCTTCCCAGTGTCCCTGGGCAGCTGGGGCTGAAACACAAACAGAGGATGGCAGTTAATGGACAGCCAAGGGAACTACACCAGCCACTGCCAGGGGAGCTCAGCATTGAGGGTGGCGGGGTGCTGCAAGGCTGGAGCAGGCAGCGGGCCCCAGGGAGAAGGGATGACTGGGGCTGAGCCCCCAGAGGCGTGGGGCAGGTCTGAGGCCTGGAGTCAGAAAGCCTGGGCTTTAGTCTTCCTGGAAAGCCTGTGTAGATTTTGGGTAAACCAGTCACTGTTCTGACCATTGGGTTCTCCTGTGGAAGTTGGCGTCCCTCTATCCACAGCTGTGTTGAAAGATGTGTGTGGGCTTCAAGGAGATAGCACACCTCCAACAAATGCTGGTTCTGCCGACTCTGTTACTCATCAGCTGTGTGAGCTTGGGCAGGTTCCGGAAACATTCCAAGCCTCAGTTTACTCATCTATTAAATGGGGCCATGGGCTATGCTGACCTCATGACGTTGTGAGGACTGAGAGAGAGAATGTATGGAGAGAGCTGAGCACAGGGCCTGGTAGGTTCTGAGCACTCAGCACACCATGGCTGGTCCCATCAGCTTTGTTATTAACAGTGCTGTGCTGAAGAGCACTTGAGATCACCCTCTGGGAGGACAGTTATGGACCCCTGCCTGGGGACCCATGTGATCCCTGAGGCTGTGCTGTGACTTCTCTGGGCTTTGTGGCTCCAGGATGGCTAGTGCCAGCTCAGAGCCTGTCACCCAGAGCAGGAGGCTGTGGCTTAGCAGGGTGGGTAAGTCCTATTCCCACTTAGCTGGGGAACCCCAACATCTGAGGAGGCTCAGCCAGGCTCTCAGGTCAGCTCTGTCATTTGCCCCGAGGCATGGCCCTCCAGTGGGGACAGGCTGAGGCAGCTAATGGGACCCCAGGATTGTGTCTGAGTGTGGGAAAGGCATGGTGACTCATGGGAAGTCCATATCTGAGGGCCCCAAACCTAGGTACCTAGGCCATAGGAGAGTGGCCTGTGTGCTCAGAGCCTGTCCATGTTCCCTAGTGACAGCTGCTTGGCATCACTGGTCTCAGTGCAAGACTGTATTTAGGTGGGGACCGGCCATCATAGCAGCTGTCACTAATGAGCACTGATCACAGGCAGGTGCTCTTGAAGATGCTTCAAACTCATTTACTCCTCCCGGCAACGCTAGGGAGCAGGTTCTGTTATTCTCTCCCCAGTTTCCAAAAGAGAAAACAGAAGGACATCCAAAGAAGTGAAGTTAGTTGAACCCACAAATTCAGATGTAACCATCATGAGCTGCTTCTCTAGGACAGCTCAGGGTGAGCAGCTTCCCCATGTGGAACCCACCCCAATTGTCTCCTTCCTGTTCTCCACAGACTCCATCACCTCCAGCCCAGGATGGGGTTCCAATGAGCATCCAGGGGCACAAAGCAAGCTCTTACCATCCCTGAGTCTTGATTTCTTCAGCTTCAGGGTGGGGATGAGAAGCTCGGGCTTGCAGAGCAATTCTGGGGCTTCCGTGAGACCCTGTGCAGGGAAGTGCTGGTGCCTGGCTCACCGCTGGTGCTCAGCCATGGTTGTTTTCTTGATGGGAACATGATCAGTGTCCCTAGAAGAGTAAGCAGGCCCCAATCCTCAGTGCAGTTCAGAAGACAAGTCCCACAGGGTCATCTGACGAGGCCTCATCCCCAGATCTGCTGCCCCTCTCCTCTCTTTCAGGCCTCACTGGCTCGGGAGGCTGGCCTTACTAGATCCTTTGTCAAGCTTTCTAGGTATTGGCTCAGCCAAGTCGTGCAGAGAGAGAAAACGGCAAGGCCAGGTTCTTGGTGCTTGCTATGGGGATCTGGAATTCAAGGAGCTGAATTCCCTCCATTCAGGCAACCAGAAGTAAAACCTTCATTTTCTACCTAGGACCAAGGAAGACAAGCCCTTCTAGCCAAGGCTCTGGGTGGCGTCATGGACAGATGCCTGATGGCTTGTATTCTAGTCTGGAACTGAGCTATGTAGCCTGGCCAGGGAGGGAGTAGGGCTGCATCCACCAAGGTTCTACTGAATGGAGGGTGACCAGTTGTCCTTACATTAAATGAAAACCAGAAGAGCCCTGGGGAAACAGGAGTTGGTGACCCTGGCCAGATATTCTGGGCCAGTTTAAGAGCCCTCTATTTCTCCCTTATCTTCCTGCAGTTTGCAGGCCTGCTCTTCATCGGAGCCAGCCCATAAAAGGAGACAAAGCTATAGAGGTGAAGGCGGTGGCTGGACTCCCACGCCTGTTTAACGAGGAGGCTGAGGTCTGGGCTCTGATGACAGGTCCCTTTGAAGAACTGACGGAGCCTTGGTCTTCCCAGGGACATGGGATGGTGGGGGTGAGTCTCCGTGTAGCCACCAGTTCAACGGGACTCCTATTTTACAAGGCCGGGAAATATTCACGGAAGGCTAAATAACAGGTTAATGAGGGGTTTCAATAGAAAGTGGTATTAACTTTAATGAGGAGAAAACACTTTGTAAGGGCCAACCAACACCCACTGGGGCGGAGGTATAAATCCCGGCTGCGGAGCTGCTTCTTCACATCGGGGTGTCTGGTCTTAGGGATCTACCACTTGCATCCGGGCTCCTGTGGCCATGGCTTCCAAATGCCTCAAGGCCAGTTTCTCCTCGGGATCCCTCAAGAGCCCAGGAGGGACCGGAGGGGGCTCCAGTCGTGTATCCACGATCTATTCCAGCAGCTCTTGCAAACTCCCGAGTCTCTCCCGGGGGGCCCGAAGTTTCTCTGTGTGCACAGCTGGGCTGGGCAGAAGCAGCTCCAGGGCTTCTGGTGGCCTCCCTGCTCTCTGCCTCACCACTGGAGGCTTTGCCGCCAGCTACAGCATGGGTGGGGGCTGGTTTGGGGAGGGAATCCTCACTGGCAACGAGAAGGAGACCATGCAGTCCCTGAACGACCGGCTGGCCAGCTACCTGGAGAAGGTGCGCCAGTTGGAGCAGGAGAACGCCAGCCTGGAGAGCCGCATTCGGGAGTGGTGTGAGCAGCAGGTTCCCTACATGTGCCCCGACTACCAGTCCTACTTCCGGACCATCGAGGAGCTCCAGAAGAAGGTGAGAGGTTCCGTGTGGCAGTGGCTACCCAGGAGCCTGGTGGCATTAGACTCAGACTGGCAGCCAGAACATGTGTGATGGTGGCCCTAGGGCACCTAGGAGGTTAAGAAGCATGTTTCTACCAGTAATTACAGAGGGAGGTATCATTAGCCCATTATACAGAGGAGAACACTGTCAATTAACCAGGCTTTGGCTGGTTAATTGACCCAGATGGCCATTAGTGCTCTCTGGGTCATGATGAACACAGAGTGTATGAATTAACTGATGTGTGACCTTTGGCACCATTGTCCATTTCTCTGATTTTTAATTTCTTCATTCATTTTAAGATGAAGGGATTGAACCTGATGCGTTGAGTGTAGATCAGGTTTCCCATAAGTAACTCAGGGAAGAAAATACCTGTCAGAAAAGTTTCCTTCTTGCCTTGTCTTCATCCCTTGAGAGTCACAGCTGGATTCTGAGAGGGACAATCTATGGCCAGAGAATCACGGGTACACTGTGGGCAATGGCCTGCTTTGGGTCCCCAGCAGGCCTGGGAGACAGGAAGACAGGAAGGCAGGGAAGAGCCTCGTTAAGCACGCCCCTGCCCTTCTCTCTAGCCCTGGGCTACATACCACAGACCCGCTGCATTGGGAGGTCCACAGTCCAGTCCCTATTGCCTTCCCTCAAGGAGCTCCGCTGCTAGGAGTCCAGGATGGACAACTGTTTCTGTCCAGAGGACCCCTCCCCACCCCTCTGCCTGCCTTGGGGGGTCCCACTAGCAGAAGGTCCTTTCTTGTACTGAAGTTGCTCCTTTCTATCCCCAGACTCTTTGCAGCAAGGCAGAGAATGCCCGGCTGGTGGTGCAGATTGACAACGCCAAGCTGGCTGCCGACGACTTCAGGACCAAGTAAGTGGACCTGCCCACCCTTGATAGGCGCTGGTAGACTTGGACCTGGGTGATGCCTAGACTCAGGGTTTTAACTGCATTCAGTCACCAAGACACAAAAGCAGGTCTCATAGCACCAGGGCAGTGTATGGTGGCGCCTGACTTTGAAAGCAAAAAAAAATTGGAGCTACAGATGCCCTGTTCTATGCCTGCAGGTATGAGACAGAAGTGTCCCTTCGGCAACTGGTGGAGGCTGACATCAATGGCCTGCGCAGGATCTTGGATGATCTGACCTTGTGCAAGGCTGACCTGGAGGCACAGGTGGAGTCCCTGAAAGAGGAACTGCTCTGCCTCAAGAAGAACCACGAGGAGGTGAGCATGGGGAAGAGGCAAGCATGGGGGGAAGGTGAGCATGGGGGAGGAGGTGAGCATGGGGAGGAGGTGAGCATGGGAAGGAGATGAGCATGGGGGGACATCTGGGTGTGGGGGAGAAGTTGAGCATGGGGGAGGAGTGAGCATGGGGGAGGCAGCCAACTGGGAAAGTTAGTGCTGACTCTTGTCTGTGCCACAGGAAGTGAACTCACTGCGCTGCCAGCTTGGCGACCGGCTCAATGTCGAGGTGGATGCTGCTCCACCTGTGGACCTGAACCGTGTTCTGGATGAGATGAGGTGCCAGTATGAGACTCTGGTGGAGAATAACCGCCGGGATGCTGAAGACTGGTTTGACACCCAGGTAGGTACCTGGAAACAATCAGTGCAACAGGCCACACAGAAGTGGCTGTGAGGTTGGGAGTCAAGAAACCTGAATGTGGGTGTCTCAGTTCTGTTCTAACCTCACTGTGCGACCTTGGGCATGCGGCTGTCCTCTAAATAGCATGGATAAAAGGAATGTGTCGGACTGGGTGATTTGGAAGGTCCTTCTTGACTGATGATTCTATGTGGCCTCTGGAGACCTTTGAAGCTGAGTCCCCAAAAGGCTCCTAACCAGGTCCTGTGTGTATGTATGTTTCAGACAGAGGAGCTGAACCAGCAGGTGGTGTCCAGCTCAGAGCAGCTGCAGTCCTGTCAGGCAGAGATCATTGAGCTGAGACGCACGGTCAACTCCTTGGAGATCGAACTGCAGGCCCAGCAGAGCATGGTGAGCCTGCAGGTGGGGGAGGGCTTCTGGATGAGGCCTGGAAGCCCATAGCCCTGCTGCTCCATGCTCTGATCACATTGGCAGGCTCCAGGGGTTCAAGTTATTGAGCAACAGGCTTCTCTTGCAGAGGAGAAGAATGAGGGCCAGGCGCCAATCATAAATGCCCCAGTGGTATGGGACAAGAGGCCTGGAGCAAGCCGTAGGTCCAGGCAGTAGCTCCTCTATTTGTGTAATCACATCCATCTTGACATATTATCAGTTACTCAGAGATGCTATTAATCAGGAGATAATCTGGATCTGCAGGCTACGGGGACTGGTTGGCTCATCTCAAATGAGATGTCTGATGGTGGTTCATCCTGGCTCAAATAATTCTCTCAGCTTCCACTCTTGGATTTTGAGGTCTCACTTGTTCTTTCTCTGGCCTCTAAATTTGTTCCTCCTTCCATAACCCTTGACCTCCCAGAGAGATGCTTTGGACTCCACCTTGGCAGAGACAGAGGCCCGCTACAGCTCCCAGCTGTCCCAGATGCAGTGCATGATCAGCAACGTGGAGTCCCAGCTGGCCGAGATCCGGGCTGACCTGGAGCGTCAGAACCAGGAGTACCAGGTGCTGCTGGACGTCCGGGCCCGGCTGGAGTGCGAGATCAACACGTACCGGGGCCTGCTGGAGAGCGAGGACAGCAAGTGAGTGCCACCGTGTGTTCTCTTGTCTTCTGAATGCCGTCTCCAAAGTTTTGGGGAGATAACATGGTGCCTGGGAGGAGCACAACACTCAGAGTCGGGAGTCCTGGGTTTTACCTCTGGTCACGCTACAATGTCACCATATGATTGTAGCTGGGCCCCTTTCCTCTCTGGGTCTCATTTCCCCTTTGGTAAGATGAGAGGACAGGATTAGGTGGTTTTTAAGATGCCTTCCAGTTTGCATATTCTGGGATTAGCTAGGAGACCCTGAAAACAGCAACTGGAAGATCCAAGTTACCTGACTCTTTCTGTCTCCTAGGCTCCCCTGCAACCCGTGTGCCTCTGACTGCTCATCCTCCAAGTCAAGCTTCCCCTGCCTTCCTGCAGCCTCCTGTGGTCCAGGCATAGCCCGCACGACCTGCAGCCCCCGCCCTGTTTGCGTGCCCTGCCCAGGGGGTCGGTTCTGAGAACTTCTGACCCAGAAGGCCAAGGTCATTGTCACTTGGACATGGCCCTTATTCAATCCTAACTCTTACAGCCCAATCCCCTCTCTGCACACAGAGCCCAGGTCCAGGCCCTGAGAGGGCTCACTGCAAATACATGCCTTCGAGTTTCTCAGAGCCTGCCAGTAAGGCTGGCTGCCCCCAAGGCCTTAACTCCTCATCATTTCAATGGGCGCCAGCATCTCTGTTCTCAGGGAACAGAGATTTTCTTTCTGGTGTATTGGGTTGGGCTTTCTTTCTGGTGTGTTCCAGTAGGTTCTGAAATGCAATACAAGGTTTCTATTGGTGGAACAATAAAGCTCCTTTGCTCTGGCTGTGGATTCCCGATTCATATCATTTCTGTGTTCGTTTGTGTTCCTGCTGAATCCAGGGATAACCACTAGGTAGATGAATACCAGAATGCTTGACCAAGAGTGACCCTGGGGATGACAGGGTCCTTGGGCCCCTGATCAGGAAGGGTAGAGGCCATGGTGAGATGTTCCGCTTGACTTCTCTGATGAAGACCTTTTCCCAAGATTCCAGTGCGGTGACAGGTTTACCAGACCTCGCCTGCTATGCCTCTTAGCATCCGTGGCCACCCTGTAAGCTAAGAGATCAGTGAGATAGAAAGCATTTCCGGCCACTTAATTAGCCTCATGTCTGTGGCTCCTCATAAAAGCAATGATATAGTACCACACACTCGTGGTACTTTAAAGGGTACAAACACCTTCTTTCCTTGCAGCCTTTCATAAAGCCTTTCTAGATGGGTAAACCTCCTTAATATTCTACTTCCCATCATGTTCAGAAGACAGAGAGTGGGCCTGCCAGTGTCTCAGAGCCTGCTACAGCTCAGAAGTTCTTGCCCTTGGGAGACTCATGCTTCCTCTTGTGGGATCTCAGCATCTGACAAGTCCTGTGACCAGGTGCATGGGCAAGAGAGCTCCAGGTATTAGATATGGAAAATGTCAAACCCTCAAATATGGAGGCCTCAGAAAAGGGAGTGAAAAAGACAGCCATACCTTGATAGCACTGATCCTTTCCCAATGCACTCTTTCCCAGTGACAAGACAAGCCCTGGGGAGGAAATAACCATCCAAGCCTAGACTGGCAGTCTCTAGGAAGGAGCCAAAGTATTGACCCTTCCCAGAGCAAATCCTTTCTCAATGACAGTGCAATGAGACCCCAGAGGGAAAGAGATAAGTACTGACCACTGACCCCAGACCCTCTATCTGGTCCACTGACTGCTGACCCTGGACCCTCCGTTAGACACGCTCTGTCATTAATTAAGTCACCTCTCAGTATAACCTATATAAGCCCAGTCCCCTTCTTTGTTCAGTGGCTCATTTTCCACCAGGGGAGTGGGTCCATCAGAACCATGACTCCATTCCTGAATAAAGACTTTCAGCTGATTTGTGAAATTTGTGTTGGGCCTGGTCTCTTTGTGCTAACACCAGGCATCTAAGACGGAGTGCTCTTACTGTGTTCAGAATGTCCTCCCCAAACAGATCAAGCAAGTACTGAGTTCTAGCAGTCCCAGAGGGAAAGGGACAGGGTCAAGGCAGCACTTTCTAAGCTAGAAAGGAGGGAAGGTTGTCCTGAGTCAGCCCTCTGCTCTCCAAGATGCCAAAGGCTCTTGCTGGGGGACTTCAGTGATGTTAAGAGGGCTCTGACAAGTTGGTAAATGCTGCCTGACCCATGCAGGCCCAGGCCTGCCAGGTCAGGATGTCTGTATGTTTCAACCTGATTTCACCGTAGATTCTGTCCCTTCCTATCCCGGTGTACAGGAGGGCCTGGGCCTTTGGTCTCCACCACGTAGCTCATGGCAACCTGAACCTCCACTCAAGTTCCAGTCACCTTGGAACCCTTCAGCAGATTTTGCTGAGGGTCAGGTGCCCATGGCGAGTGGTGGTCTCAGAATCGTTCACTTCAGCCAACAAACCCTTACAGACCACTAATGTGTGCCAGGCATTGGTTAGGACCAGGGGCAGGGTTGGTCTATGTGGGAGAGAGGTTGAGATGGGACAAGAAGGACACCTGCTTACTACTTCTTTCCTTTCCACCTCAGTGGTAGGAGGAGGCCGTGAAATAAGCATAAAGAAAATCTGGGCCAAGAACATGGAGTCAGGTTGATGTGGGTTCAAATCTCAGCCCTACCACTAACTGCATAAAGGAATGCTAGCAGGTCACAGTCCCTTTTCTGAGTACCAGTTTCCTCTTGGGAAAAGTGCAAAGGTGACACTTACTGTGTTGTAAAGTCCCTAATACTTTGCTGAGCATGTGATGGGCACCTGCAAACTAGTTAACATTGACTCTTGGATGCCTGGATTTCTCTGAGAGTGACATATACTTTCCCCTATCTGGGATTTCATTTCTTAGGTTTCCTTCAAGGCAGTGATGCCCAGGACAAAGCAGGCTAGCTAAAGTGAATATATGGTTATATAATTTATTATTTAATTCCAACTCTGACCAGTCGTGGGGAAGTCATGGTCAGCAGTATCAGATGCTCTCTTGAGCACATGGCTCTAGTGAATTCTGTTTTGTATGTTCCATTCCTCCTCTTTATAGCACTCTTCATGGCACAAGTCCCTTCCAAGCTTATAATAGTTCCCTTCCAGATGGCGTTAACCAGATTACATGTAATCCTGCCTCTAATTATTACTTACTTTATTTGCTTGTGCTTTTTAATTATAATACTGTTTCTATTTATCCAGATGTTCTCAGCCTTGTCTGCACACTGGGATGACCTAGAAAGCCTGACAAGACAAAACAAAACAAAACCCATACCTGCTCTGTTCCCCAGAAATTTTGACTTAGTTGTTCTATCATACGGCCCAATATTGGAATTTTTGAAGGTTCTCCAGGTGATGATAATGTACAGAGCTCCTTCAGGAGGAAGGGGTTTTAGCAATTCAACTTGGAGTATAGGCTTGACCTAGACCTTAGCACTATCAGTTCTGATCTCTAAGACAGTTTGGGGGTATTCCTCAATTATTTTTTTCCTCTAATAACAAATATTTAAAATGAATTATAAGTTTAAGTTATCATATTTTTATTTCCAAAGAAACTTTTTGTTCTCTATTCTTCTTTTATAGCATCCAGTTCTGGTTTCCTGTATATAACTGTTACACCCATCTCTGAGATAATTATTTTTAAAAATATAGTTTTGGATTCTGTGTTGTTTCTGTCTCATTTCTCTCTTTTACTGTTTCAATTGTTTGCTTTTTTTTTTTTTTTTGGTCTATCCTTCATAATGCCAAGCATTTGAACGGAGTGGAGTTTGCTGAAGATTTCCTGGGGACTGTGAGGTCAAACGGTGACATTTTCTCTCTCCCTCCCTGATGGCTCTCTCTACACCTAACTCCTGTTTTTCTCTTCTCCTCATCCTTCCCTTCCATGATTGCCCCCAGGAACTTCAAATTCTTCTCTCCTTTCTCCATCTGATATCTTGCTGCCAAATCATGGCATGTGGGGGTTCCACCTACCCCAAGAAATTATCAACATAAAGGTATTTTTTAAAGTAAAGACTCTTTTCTTCTGCAAGAGGAATTCTGGTGGCTGCTGTTAAGATACATATGCTTCACTACCTCAGTGATTACCAAAACTACATAGAGGTCTTGTTGGGTAGAGGTTGCTGGATCTTATTCTTCAAGTTTCTGATTCAAGAGGTCTAGAGTGATCTTGAAAAATTGCATTTCTAGTATGTTCCTGAGTGATGTAGATACTGCTAACCTGAGGACTTTACTTTGAGAACTACTGTTACACTTAATTATAGGAATATTTATATTATTTTCTTGAGGGCACATGAATGTCAAGAACCCAGCACGGAGCCTGGCAGTGGTATACATTCAATATCACTGGTTATGATTTGGAAGCGTGGCCTGAGGTCTCATCCCATGTACTTGACATTGCCATCCCACCTCCTTCTGTCTGACACCACTGGCTTCTCTAAACAGTTCATTCAGACAAGGGTAGTGGGGTTATGCTTGTTATAGGAAATTAAGCTGAGATTATTCAATCAAACCGTCTCCATTTGCATAAAGAAACTGAGGCCCAGGGAGGCACATTGACTTTCTCAAAGCCACAGAACAAGCTAGAAGGCGGCTTCTCTATTTTGACTTTTCTTCAGCAATGAAAGGGCTGCCTGGCTCTTTGACCAACATGTCTGGAATATATGAAAAAGAATACTCATACCCCAACACGATATCGGGAAGAGAGTGGATAAAAGCTGCAGCTCTACAACACACACATATTAAACATGTGTTCTGTGAGCTCCTGGGGTCTACAGAAGATGGAAAACCGCTGGTACAGCAAGTTGCCTTACAGGGATGCCCAAGGTCCCTGTTAACTGGGACACCTGCTCCTGGTCTTCTGGCTTGGCTCATCTCAGGGCTGCAGAGTGTCCCTTCTCAAAGGGGCTGATTCCCACTGCTTCTGTTCTCTGGGGTCCTGAAGGGAGCCCTCGCAGAAAGTAAAAGCAGAGCTGGTTCCAACCTGTTTGACCTCAGTCTGTTCAACAGTCTGGATTCAAATGCTTGGTAACTCTGTACAGGGCACCGTGATCACTGAGTAGAGGGACATGGTCAGGGGAGAGCATCTGCCTCCTGGTCATAATATTGACCTGCTTTTCCCCACCCCTCCCTGTCTCCAGTGAAAAGATGTCCTGGATTCTTAGGCTTTCTTAATGAGTCTGAAGTTCATTCTCTCCTTCCTTGATAGTATTTTCTTCCCCTTAGTGGGAGCTGATACATGTTTGAAAGCCTCAGAGGGTCACACACTTTCCTGTGTCCCTGGACTTATGCCTCTGCCGGTATCGGTGCAACTTCTGTCACCCACACATTTCCTCATTAAGGGGCCAGGCCTCTTCCCACAGGGAATGCTCTCATTAGAAGGGGCAGCTGCCTCTCCACAGCCCTGCAGACTTCCTCAGGGCAGGTACAGGTGGGGGCGCACCGGGCAAGGCCAATGGTGACACAGGGCCTGGCTCTGGCTGTCCCT